TTTTTTTATCATAACACCACAACGTCTGTGTATGAATTGAACATTTTGTAACGTTATGTTTTGAAGTACTTGGTTTATAGTACATAAATTTCGCTGTGTTTTGTTTTCGTGAAGTATCTGTAAATATTTTGGTTTTTGTTTTGTATATTGTCTTCTGATTGTGTTAAGGGAAGGAATTCTATTATTGTTCTACTACTGCGTAAAATCTATTATTGTTGTTGGCATAATACGCTTTAACGCTTCTCGTCTGCTTACATTCTTTACTGTTTTTATGTGGTTGAGCTTTATTTCTTTTTCTATTTGGGCTGAGCTTTGATATGCAGCTCCATCTGATATTGTAAGCAAACATCCAGGAATTTCGACATGAAACTTCGTAAGAATGATGAGAGAAATTAATTTTTCCAATATTTTAACTTTTGGAATTTAAATAAATAATAGTTTATAAGTTATTTATTGTTAAAAAATGTTAGCTTTATCCTATTATTTCTTTATGAAATGTTCACTATTCTTTCATTTTCGTTTAACAAACACAAATATTACTTGGATTTTTTTATTCATTACAAATTATTCATGTACAAATTAACGGGTAATTATACAGGAGAGCGGCTTATGCTAAAACTGTCCAAAAATGATGGGGTTTTTGGCTAAATAGTTGTATTTGCTGATTATCTTTTCATTAAAAGTGGGGGAAAGCTGAATTTTGCAATAGTTTTATTATTATTAACATTTAATGTTACACTAAAATCACTAGCACACACATTACAAACAAATACATGGCTAAAGCGATGTTGCCATAAAAAACAAAGTATGGCGAAAGCGACGTTGCCATAATGTGTAAGAAACTTAAAAAGTGCAATAAATAAGGCGAACGTCAGATGAAAGAGAGAAGCCGATAACTAGTACATTCTAGAAACGATAAAACAAGAACCTTCGATAGCGAACAACTCGATGCTTCTACGCTTTCGTCTGCGAGCTGCCGACTGCTATATAAGGGGACACTCAGCTGCCCAGTTAAGTTAGTTACAAAGTGAGCTCGTTGGCGTTAACATCAGTAAAGTCGTAAAGTAAACGCGTTAGGAATTACATTTAAGTAGAGTAAATGGTGAAAGTTTATGCAAGTGATTGTAGCTAGTAAAGTGCATTGTAATTGAATTGTGAATTATTGAGAAAATAAAGGACATTAGATTAATTCTTTATAGAAAGAAAACTGCAAATTAATTGGCGAGTTTTTATTTAACAATCCAGAGATCGTACCCGAAGGATTCAG